TCCCTACCTCTGTTGTCAATTTCCCTCACAATAAACAATAATATTCTATTAGCATTTCTAATTATTTGCTGTACCTGCATACTAATCTTTTGCAATTTTTACCTCTAGGACAACTAGTTCCCTCTGAGTCTTAGAGCTCTGCAATCTCTTGCTATTTAGACACACGTTTCTTTTTTATTCATCCTGCCAAATTGAACAATTTCATATTTTCCACATCTTTGCCCAGTCTCTTAATCTATCTTACGGCCCCTTCACAACTTATTTCCCTAAATACCTTTGTGACATCAACAAAATCAGTAATCGTAACTTTCATCCCTTCATCCACGTCATTTATATAAACTATAAATTGACATGACTTGCAGGCTTAATTCAACATTTTTGGCTGGATTTTCAGCCTGGCTTGAGGTACCCTACCACTTCTCCTTTCTCCCCCTCTCGTCCTCTCGAGAACATCACATTCCGGGGAAGATGCAGTAGAATTGAAATGCGGGGCGGTGCTCATGCTCTGAAGTTGCTGAACTCAAAATTGCATCCTGAAGACTGTGTTGGGCTTCGCCATGCTATTATGCTAAGATTTCCATCCTAGACCTGCTACAGTGTTCCAGCGAAACCCCAATGCAAGCCAGAGGAACAACGCCTCATTTTCTAGCGAAGCCCTTTACAACCTTCAGGACTCAATGTTTCAGCTCGACAACTTCAGACCATGAAAACTGTCCTCCATTTCGATTACACTCCCCCGTCCAATGCCTTGATGACAAGGGTTTGCTCTCACAATGAACCTATTTTTGACTACTCACACAGTTACACCTGTTAGTGAGCTCAAAAACTAGTAAATAGAAGGTGATAGGTTTCCCAGATACCCCTTCATTTTTAAAATCACATCACTTTGGGATCCAGGGTATGCAATGTACTTTCCTGCACATGTGCTTGCTCTGCTGGTATTTAAAGTTTCAGCCTATTGAGCAAGATGCAATTGATTACTTATGAGCCCTGGCATTGAAACACGGAATAATAATCAACAACTGGGTAGATATTACAGCTGAGACAGATCTTGTCCTAACCTGCCATCTGCAGCCCTTGGATAGTATCCTGGAGCTGTCTGATCATTTGTGGGCACAAACAACACCATTATTTCTTCACTGGCTGAGACCAGCTAACTCAGTACAGCCTAACATTAAACCTGGGGCTTGCTGAATCATCGGGGGATCCTTGACAGTCACCAGATTAGCTTTTGTGCTAGAATTAAGGATACAACTGGAGTATACAAACAAAAAAGTTAGTGATGAGCACATTTCTTAACTCGAGGACTTCTTATGTCATTGCACGTGCTGTAACTTCCAGTGCTAATAAATTGCTGTGAAAAATATTTTGCCACAGAATAGTGTCCCTTTGAGACATTTTTTTAAAATTCAATGTCATTTGTACACATAAGCCTCTGTGTTGGCTGCAGTAAATCATAGCAGAGAAAGAAAGCTCACTGGGTGGGGAGAGAGGGTTGCAAACTAGTCCTAAACTTAGATTGATGCAAGTCCAAAGATGCAACTAAATACACACCCATTCATAAAAATAAATAGGATTATTGTTCTCTGTGCCGCAAGGTGAGGTCATCTTTGTAGGGGAGGATGTGTAAAAGCACAGATGAAATGTGGAGATGATAGAGCACCGTAGGAATTAAAAGAAGTACAGCATATTCTGACAATCTCTGCTGTAAGTGTCATTCTCAGGTTTACATTTAAATTGAGGTAATTGACACTTATTTTATACCTTTTAGTGGGTAGGGCAAAATTGACATCTGCAGTGCCCATCGTTGTGCCATAGATTTGCGCTCACCATGTTGCTCAATACATGCGTGCACATTTCTGTTGAGAATCTTGCCAAACATTATGTTAGTAAAGGACAAATAAACGGTTCTATTATTCATATATGAAGGAGGTATTAGTCAATTTCCAGAAAGTAATAAGAGGCCTAATGCCTGCGTCTGGTCCCCACTCCAACTCTGATTTACACAGAGGGAGCCAATGCCATGCTGTGCATTGTTTCGGGGAAAACCAATGTTAAATGACATGTTAAGTTTAAAAAAGGTAAAAACTTAAAATAATAATGATGATCCTCGCAATGTTATGTCTCTCAAGTCATCCCGAGATCCCAACTTCATTTCCAGCTCCTACCTTGGGTCTTCATCTTGATCTCCTCCTGACCTTGAACCTGGCAATTTAGCCCCTGCCAATAGCACTCCAGATTCTACAGAGATGCTTGCAAGGCCTGCAATTTTCCTATCTGATCTCCCACCAAACCTCATTCACAGAATCTATGCCCTCTTCATTTATCTTCAAGATGCCACAATCCAGTTCACTAATCTGTGCCTGTTCATACTGCAGTAACATGTAATTTAGGAATTTTCCAGAGCTCTCATTTGAGCGTGGGATGTTAACATCTTGCCGGAAAGTTGCCCCAAGATATTCCTAGGCTTAAACATTTCTAATATTGCTATACAAATGTGATTCTAAGAAAGGAAAACAGTGATTCATTTATATATTGACCAATCTCCTGTATCTCACATCATAAACCATATTAATGCGGAACTTAAAAACTGGGATTACTGAATGCAACATTGTTCAAGTTGCCTCAATGAAAACCAACCCAAAACCACTGGATTCAGAGCCAGGATTTGCTGAGTCATTGCCAGTGGTCAATGTTTTAAATGAATTCAACTCAAGTCCTGCCGTTTCATCAGAATGAGCTCAGAATTCATGTTGAATGGACAGGTATACTACTTTGCAGAAACTCTGAAACCACAGCTTAGCATAACCAAATGATGTCAGGCATTGTCACTATTACCCACTTGAGATGCTTTGCTATAAAATCAAACATTATGTTATTGCATGGTATAAAATTATAATCTGCTATTACGAATCCAAGAAACTACAGTAAAATTGGACCTTGTTCTGTGGGAAAAAACATGTAAAAAATAATTATAGTTTGAAAAACATTCTGGTCAACTGCTGGCCTTATTTGTTCTTACTTAACCCTACCATTACCGATATCTCTATACTTTTCTTCAGCTCACATCATAGACACATAGCTACCTGACATATTGGCTCTAATGTTTCTGATGTGTTGGGGCTGATGAGGCTTGGAACAGCTGAAGAACCTGCTAAGACATGTTGATCCTAATGGCAGGAATCAATAAGATCTTAGAACGCCGCTACTCACCTGGCAGCTGACAAACTGGGCATTTGCTGAGAGAACAGCAGCTACCACTTACTCCTGGGAGCTCTTGTGTCAAAAAGTCAGAATTAAGAGATGGGCAAACTTGGCAATCAGAAAGCAGAGAAGGATGAAAGCTTCCTTTGTTGGCTTGAAAGGATTACTTTGGCTTCTTCAGGCCCATAAGAGGGGGCTGAAAGACACACTCCCTGAGATCTGGCAGCTCCCATTTCCATTCTAATGTCAAGTTACCTGGGGTTGGTTAATATCAAACCAGACTTCCAATTGCATTGCGAGAATCGGATTTTGAAATCTTATTAAGTATCTCCACAGGAATTTGGTCAACCTGATATTTGCTCCTTCGAAATGGTGGAATAATGTGTGAGGTAATTTGAATATTTCTTCTGTGACTATTTCATTTTCTCAGAGCTGGAAGTAGAGCACCTGCTTGTGGAATCTTGTGTTGGACATGCCCAGCTCATTGCAGCTAATCAAGGATGGTCAGTGGCCGGATGCTGGGGATGCGGGTGTTGGTGCAGGTTTCATCCTAGCGGATTCACAGGATCTTATGCAGGCAGCATGGGTGGTACTGCTCCAGTGCCTTGAGGTGTCTATTGTGCCTCAGAGCGTCGCAGAGCCATATAGAGGGGCTGGAACCACCACAGCTCTGTATACCATGAGCTTGGTGTTGGATGTGATATAGTTGTTCTCAAGCACCCTTTTCCTCAGGCAGCTGAAAGCTATGCTAGCACACTGAAAGCGATGCTAGATCTCTTCATCATAGCTGCTTTTGCTGATAGGACACTCTCTAGGTATTGGAAATGGTCAATGTTCTCTAAGGCCTCCCTGTGGACCCTTGATGATCAGGGGTTCATTCCACATTGCCAGGCCAGGTTGGTGAAGGACCTTAGTCTAGTGGACATTCAGGGCGATCCCCTGGTAGGCAGAGGAAGCGCTTCAGTGATACCCTCAAGGCTTCATTGGCGAAGTGTGACCTTCCCACAGACACCTGGGAATCAATGGCTCAAGACTGTCCAAAGTGAAGGAGGAGCATCCAGGAAGGCATCAAGCAGCTTGAGACTTGCCATCAGGCCAAAGCAGAAGCCAGGCAAAAAGAGTGAAAGGAGTGTGCTGTCACACCAACACCCCACCCACCCCTTCCTGCAGCCACTTCTGCCCCAATTGTAACAGAGCCTGTGGATGCCATATTGGTCTTTACAACCACCTACAGACTCACACTGAGAGTAGAATAGAGTCATCCTCGTCTGTGAGGAACCACCAATGAATGAAATTTTGTTTTTTAGACCCTCAGGCCATCTTCCAACCATTCCATGGACTTTGCAGATGCTTTTTAAATCAACCTGTTGTCACACACCTCTGGAGTGGGTAGGACTTAAACCAGGCCTCCTGCTTTAGAGATAGCTCCCTCTATGGAGTTCATATTGAAGCCATTCCTCTCATTGTAAGCCTAATAGGGTAAATTAGGTAAGGAGTATCAGCAGTTCCCCAGTTAACTATAACTTGTTAAAGTTTGTAACACAATTAATTGTGTACCTAGAGACATCCATTTACTACACAACCAATCATTTATTGCTTACCTAATGCAATGTTCATGATCCCTTATAAAAAGCAATTGAGCAAATTCAAGTTAACTTAATGAAATAAAACATTAACAAAATTGAAATTGTTTTATTTGTAGTTTATGGGTCTCCTCTCTGCCGTGTTTCTTAGCTTAAAGACAGATTATTCCAAGAATCTAACAAACTATTAAGAAATTAACGAACAGCTGCATGCTTGAAAGTTGAGTTCTCTTCTGGCTATATGAAAAACATGACAGAAAGAAATCCATCAATCCAATTCTGCTAATAGATGGATGCAACTGGGAAAATAATTATCAATTGCCTTTAAATGCTAACACAATTAACAAATATCATTGAGCTATGAAGCAATGACATTAAATAAGCTGGGTGCTTTTGGCATTACACGTCAGATACCACACAGAGTTATTGGCATACATTTGTGCACAAATGTACAAACAATCTTTTCTGTCACTTCTTGACAGCCCACATTCTTCCTCAAGCATTCTGCAACCATTAGTATGGTCAACCATCTTCTTTCAGTGCTTCTCTTCCTCTGCCAGGCTCCTAGCAACTGTCCTTACTTGGTTACATTACTAATAACTGGTTCAGAAACAGAACTTCTCAAGCAATGACTTCTTTTGCCTCTGTACCCAGTTACCAATGGAGGGTCTGAGGCTTCCAATTTAGTTTGCTCTTCTTTATCAGCTGGAATACTCCTTGACTCTATCACTAATAGAGTCAGCTTTCCCATGATCGTACCTAATTTAGTTGAATCAGATCTCCACTACTCATATTGTGTCCTCCACTAGAAGGGCTCTCGTTGTCCAGTCATAGCGTTCCTACCTCTAAGCCAGGAAGCCAGTGTCAAGTCCCTTCTGCTCCAGAGATATGTCATAAGACCTCTGAACAGGGTGATTAGGAAATATCTCCTTTCCTGCACGAAATCCCATTTCTCTTTCACAGAAGTTGCTGGAAAAGCTCAGCAGGTCTGGCAACATCTGTGAAGAAAAAATCAGAGTTAACGTTTCGGGTCTGGTGACCCTTCTTCAGAACTGACCCGAAACATTCTTTCAGTTCTTTCAGTTCCCATTTCTCTTTTACCTTCAGCCTTGCTGATTCCAACTGTGGTTCCTGATTGTCCTATGACACTGCCCAAAACTTTGTGTTTCTTACATTTCAGTGTTTTGTAGAGCTCACCTTTCACTTGACGTACCATTAACAGCTGTGCCTTCAACTGACTAGGTCTCAAACTGGAATTCCCTCCTAAATCCATTTTGTCTCTTCCTCTCCTTATTTAAGAACATCTGCTTCTTCAATCCCCGTTTTTCTTTAAGGCTTTCAATAACACCAATATCTTTGAGCAATGTTGTGATCACATGGTTCTGTTTTTTTTGACCGTTTGTTTTCCTTTATGAGGTACATTAGGATATTTTTCTTCATTAAGAGCTCAATTGTCCATTTAAACTTTTCATGATTTGGTTCAAAGGTACAGTATCATCGAACTCCTTCAGCAATTGGCTGCTGTTGCTCCCTGTTCCAGTTTGGAGCTCTGTAAATAATTCTAACAGTGAAGAAATCTGCAGGGTGGTTTACTTTATCATCCTACTACTATTGATCTCCTTCCATTTCCCTTAAGGGTCATCAATCCCCTTTGCACTCACTGGTCTGTGCGAACTCCCAATCCAGTAATTCCTCAATTTTAAAATTCCTGTCCTCATACACAAACTCCTCCACAGTTCACTCCTCTCTTTCTTTGCATTCTCCTTCAATCCTACAACCTTCCAAGATTTTAACACTCCCCAATTCTAGTCTTCTGTGCATTCCTAATTTTGATTGTTCCACACAGGCCTTCAGCTGTTTCAGCCTAAAGGAATTTTCATCCGAGACTTCCCTGTCTGCGATCACTTTCTGTCTCTCCTTCTTTAAAATTATCCTTATAGCTCCTTACTAAAGTTACGATCACCCATCCTTATACCTTCTTGTGTACTTCAGTGCAAGGTGTTGTAGAATAACATTCCTGTGAAGAATCTTGATGTGTTTAATTATATTACATATGCTATATTAACACAAATTCTTATTGTAAAAGAAGTATTTGATGTGATTCACATTCAGTATCATCCCAGTGACATTAAACGGTCCTTTTGATTACTCAACCCTGCTCTCCCAATTTACTGTGTGTTCAATAACTTGTCTTGGCTTACAGGTTTACCAGTAGGCTCTAAGCATTGTTGGGCAATGGAAAAAATTATCCAGAGAAGCATGAAAGGGAATATACACCTTTCTTCTGAGGGCAATGAGGAAGAGTAACAAAGATGTTGCAAAAATAGCAAGAAATAGAAAGAAGGAAAGGGCTTGTCTTTATAAAATGCCTTTTTGCATCTTCTAAACACCTCTGTTGAAATATAATGTCTGCTGTTTCAGCAATACAGCTGATTTGTGCACAACAAGTCCTCATTTGCAATGGATGATATTTTTGAAGTGATATAGAACAGTTTTCCATGCACAGCATGCAGAGTTAGAAGTTGGAGGAGGTAAGCGCATTTTAAGGGGGTGCAGTTAGCTCCTTTATCGAGATGGCCAGCATGATTCAAAATAATCTGGCAGCACACAATTTGATCCCTGTTTGGGATGTCAACCTGGGGACTGTGTGCAGTAAAATCATGGTACAAGCAGTGATTTGGTGATCCTCGAATCATCAACTATGCCTCTGAAGAAGGAAAAGTAGAAATTAAGATCAAAACTTCATTGATACAATCAAGACAATCCCTGTTCCCTTCACAAGATGCAGGCAGGAGGTACACTTCCCTAACGACAGCAAGGGGAAACTTGTAGCTGTGATCAAAAAGACATGATATGAAATGACTGAGGGAATTAGTAACAGAGTTTAGTCCCATGCAGCAAATGATTTAATGATCTGGCCATGTCAGGAAATGTAAACACAGTTGCAGGTTCACCCAAATTCTAAACTGCATCTGCTGCCTTACCTCTCTGTGCCTCCAATATCTTGTCAAGGCTACTCCATTGCATCATTTCTCATATCTATTTATATTTCAGCAGATTCCCTTGCCCCATTCCACCTCTGCCACATTTCACATGCTATCGATTGCATGTATCTGAAACAAATTGCCCAGTTCTTGCCACGTCCTCAAATGTGTGCCCGAGACACTCCTGAAACATCTGCCTGATAGTCACCCTCATCAAATGCATTCATCTTTTGGATGCACGTACATCTATTGGATGCATGTAAGACCATAAGCATGTCCACTGGCTCTGCTTTGTCTCACTTCCTTGTTGCCTACTCAAAGAATTCTAATGGCTTGTCAGGTATGACCTCCCTTTGAAGAAGCCATGTTGTCTCAGCCCTATTTCACCATGCACTTCCAATCAACTCTCGCCAATTCCTCCTTTGTAGTTACCTTCACTAAACTGTAATACCATTACATTTGATTTCAGCTTCTCCCTCACAAACTGCAGGATGAATTCTGTCATATTATGGTCAATGCTCCCTAGGGATTCTGTTATTTTAAGCTCCTTAATCAAGCCTATCTCATTACCTATCACCAAATCCAGAATTGCCTGTTCCCTAGTGGGTTCTACCACAAGCTAGTCCAAAAGTATCTTGTTGATATTCCATAAATTCCTTTTATTGGGAGTCGCTGTCAACCTGATTTTCCAACCCACCTGCATATTGAAGTCTCCTGAGATTATTGCTATAGTGCCTTTCTTACATGCCCTTTCTATCTCCTGATTTATTTTCTGCCTCATATCCTGACTATTCTAGGAGAACTGTACATAATTCCCATGAGGGTCTTTTTCCCTTTGTGGCTCCTCAGCTCTACCCACACAGATTCCCTGCCTTCTGACTCTATATCACAGCTTGCTAGCGATTTAATTTCATTTCTTACTACCAAGGCAGACCCACCCACCTCTACCCCTCTGCCTGTCCTTTCAATAGGATGTGTATCCTTGAATATTTAGTTCTCAGCCCTGATCCCCTTGCAGCCACGTCTCTGATATCCACAACATTGCGCCTGCTAATTTCAACCTGCACTACAAGCTTATTTACCTTGTTTCATATACTGCATACATTTAAGTAAACACCGTCAGTTCTGTGTTGACTGTCCCTCTTCTCATAGTTGTCCCCTTATCTGCAGTGCCTGAAGTTGGATTCCTGACTCTTTCCACACTCTCTGTCGTATTACTTGTTCTGGAAATTTTATTAACCTCTGCTGAGCTCTCCTCCCATTTACGTTTTTCCATAATTTTCCATGCAACTGAACCCATTCCCCATGATTTAGTTTAAAGCCCTATCCGTAGCCTTAGTTATGTGATGCACCAGGACGCTGGTCCCAGCAGGATTCAGATGGAGCTTGTCCTATTGGAACAGCTCCTTCCTTCCCCAGTACTGGTGCCAATGTCCCATGAATTTGAATCTGTTTCTCCCACACCAATCTTTCAGCCATGTGTTTACCTCTTCAATCTCGTTTACCCTGTGCCACTAAGATTGTGGTTCAGGTAAAAACCAGGAGATTATTACCTTTTTGGTTCTGCTTTTAATTTATCCACCAGCTGCTCATATTCCCTCAGCAGAACATTTTTCCTCTTTCTACCAATAATGATGGCATCTACGTGGCCCACTACAACTGGATCTTTACCCTCCCACTCCAAGTTCTTCTACAGCCCAGATGAGGTATGCTGAACCCAGGCATAAGGCAGGCAACACAGCCTTCAGTACTCTCAATCCTGACCACAGAGCGTAGTGTCTATTTCCCTGATTATACTACCTCTAATTACAACTACATTTCTCTTTTCCCCTTCCTCTACCTGCCTCACCAGTAGTCATACCCAGCTGTCCCTGACTACTGATTGAATTTGAAGTAGCCAATCTAAGGGGTGTGACTGCTTCCTGAAAGCCAGCATTCGACCCCTTCCTGATTGGTTGCAATGGTTGAAACTCAGAATCCAGTTCATCAACTCTGAGCCAGAGTTTCTCCAACCAACACATGCTACAGATCTGGTCATTATGAACCACAGTGGGGTCCTCTAGCTTCCACATTATGCAGGTACACCACATTGCCTGGCTTTGCATCTCTATTTTACTCACTTAGTTCTTAGTTTGCTTCTTTTTATTTCCTACTCGTCTTTTAGTTTGTAACCTGTATATATTTCTTCTATTTACCTTCAATCTGAAAGTAACCTAGAATAGATAGTCAAACTTGTAGCTATTACCAAGAATTGAACTTAGGTTTCCTGTCATGTCACTCTTTGATTGTGCTGGGCTCCCCCTCCTGGGCTTCTCTTTATCCTGTTAAAAAAAAGACTTACAAAATATGAGGCGAAAAAGCAAGTAAAAATCACCTCTTACCCTCTGTACTGAATTCCCACACCACCTCCAAAAGTCCCCGAACAATTTACTCACTCACGCTGTGCCTCACTCCCAGTATGATCTCTCCTTCTTGACTGTGCAAAGCTTGCTGGTTGTCACTCTTTCAATGGGCCTCCTCTTAAATAGTGCTGTAATGATTAGTCGGCACAGTATCGGAATGACGAGATTGTACTGGATAGCTTGCAGAGAAGATTCAGCAGGATGTTGCCTGATAGGAAAAGTCTCAGTTGTGAGGAGAGACTGGATAGGCTGGGTTTGTTTTTCTTGGAGTAATGGAGACTGAAAGGTGATCTGATTGAGACATACAAATCATGAGAGGCAAAGGCAGGGTAAATTGTGAGAATCTTTTCTCCATGGCAGACTTGTCTCAGATCAGAGTTTAAGATGAGGAGTAAGTAGCTTAGAGGAGATTTGAGGAAAAATTTCTTCACTCAAAGGGTGGTAGAGATATGAAATGTACTGCCTGAGAAGGTGATCGAAGCAGGTCCCTTACTAACCTTTTAACTAGACTACTGAACTTTTAAAATGGAAAAGAAAGATCGACAAGTTCTATTCCCACGCTGCCTTCAAAGTCACGAAACTGTATTCTAACTCAGGTAGTGTCTCACTCCAGATGCGATCCCTCCTTTCTGACCGTGCAAAACTTACTGTTGTGTGCATGAGAGACACATTCGTCTGTCCAAGATGAGAGGGCTAATAGTTTCCTTTGGCCATCCCATTCCATGTCAGATTGTTGTAATTAGAATGACCACTTTTGCTATTTGAACTTACTGTCAATGTCAAGCATAACCATGCAAAATTTAGCATGGTCCAGGTATGAAGAAAAGGTCACTATTTTCAGCCTCAACAATTTATCTTAACATCATCACTAATAGATTAACCTCTGTGATAATGGGAAAATGTTTCCATTGCCTGTACCAGTTTGACTTTTCACCTGTCTCCGAAAACCTGGCTTTATCACCTCCACCAGTTTTTCTGTTTAGTAACGCAAAACCCAATTATTCTGAACATATTCTTGCCATGAGAAAGGTTTTGAAAAACAAAAATCCATTGTAGTCTCAAGCAAAGTTATGTTGATGTTAATATAATCAGAAGTGCTAGGAAAGGAGCACAGTGAGTGAAGGAAGAGATCACAAATTCATGGGAAGAGGCAAAGGTCAGAGGAAGGGAGTTGTCATTCAAAGGGCATCATGATGACTTTCAAGCATACTAGTGTCAAAAAACTAAACTGTTCTACTGATTAATGTACTGTGTCATCGCATGTCTGAGCTTGTCCTTGAAGCTATTAACAGCACAGTTTGGAATCCAAAACTGTTTCAGACGGGGCCTTCATATTACCATTCACATATTGGCACTATAAATCCAGTATGTGTTCTTATATCAAAGTCACAATTCCAACTGCGCTTCTTGAAATAGAGTACAAAAATGCTGTTCACTCAACATCAACTCAGGTGTTATGTTCCCTCCCATCAATATCAAAGGGCCCATCTTTACAGGCCTGCCATACCTACCAGAGGAAACCAGGCTGCACTAACCCTGTTCTAGTGTGTAAGCTATGCCGTGGTCCACAGGATAACTTACTGACAGCTTGCAACAACTGATGTAACTTTTTCCATAAATGTGAAGGTCAGAATGGCATTCGGCTAGCCTGTTACCAGATCCTGTCAGATTACCAACCTCGGTCAGATATGCCATCCGAAGCTTGTACCAGAATAAATCATGCAACCTAAAAACAGCATGTTCACCAGAATATATATTGCTGCCACTTTCTCAATGGAAAGAAGGCAAAAATTGAAGAAGAATGCAGAATGTTTACCACCTGACAGAGTACAGAGCATTAGAGATGAAGTTCATGGTTATTTGAGCTTTAATGCCAACCAAAATACATGTATGAAAAGGAAGAGGTATCGAAGGAAGCAATGCCTCTACATTAATGTACAGTTGGTTTCGGACAATAGAAATGTGAGCTCCATGATTTTGTGAAAATGACAAAATGCTTTTATTCCGTATTAATCTTGGACGCCTCCAGCATTTGAAAATCTGAAGGAAGTGAATGTTTGTTGGAGGCACTTAGCCCACTGAGCCCAATCAGAGTCCTTCATGCAGCTCATACAATGGAGCCCCTTCTATCACGCAGGTTGCCATTCTACGCATGGTGGGCTAAATTTTACCATGGGTGTGGAAGCGGAGGTAAGTTCAGAGGTTGGTGTGCCATCAATTCCACGCAAGCATATGACTTGCTGGCTGCACAATATTGGATGCCTTTATGGACTTCTTCTGGAGGCTGCGACTTGGGGATGTTTGCTACCCACCCAGAGGCAGTGTGCAGTTAATTAAGTTCATTACGATGACAATGGAGCTGTATTTTGCTACAGATGTGCAGTTTGCCATTGATACATGGGCACATTGCTGTGGATTGCAGGTGTCTTCATGGAGAAACGTCTAAGCTGCATCTCATTTCAGGGCATAGATTTATTTATTGGCTGTAATTCATAAAGGGGGTCTACGACCTTGAAGCCGTTCCATGGATGCTTGCTGTGCCCTGCCCCAGTTGCTGCCATTTCCCTCCCATTGAAGGCACTGCTGTCAACCCTGCTGCTGGCTTGGCATCATCCATAGTGCGAAGGAAGACGGAAACCCTACCCTGCCCACAATCATGCCAACCCCTCAATATTCTAAAACAGAAAATTGGTAGTTGTTTTTAGAAATAAGAAAATTATGACAGGATTTGATAGATGCTACATGATGGTAGCAAATAATTATTGGCACACAACAGGAATGATGTAGCTGTAGAGTACTTGGGGCCAACCTGTGTGAGTGAGAACCATTTTCAGTAATGGGTATGTCAGTACCACCAACCAATTTTGTTTTTCTTTAACTAAACCACGCATATTGGACGTTCCAAGATTTTGCTGCAAGTTTGAATCCCGTCTCAGTATTATAACTGTTTATTAAGGCCATTTCAAACAAACATGTCACATAGGCATGAACGAGATGGTTGAAATTGATTTTATGCAACTACATTGAAAATGCACTCTTGGCTCTATATCACACTCCTTCATTGACATTCTAAAGCATAGTTGTCTATTCTGCAAGCCAGGGCTGTGTCAAATTTTTTTCCCTGAGTGGAAGAAACAACTGTGGTGTCAGGTTACTGCTGGGTAGTGCAGCCCTCCCAGGGCATTACTGGCACTGAAGCAATAGATGCAAAAGATAATGTGCTGTCTCTGCAACAGCTGGAGCCCAATCCAACAATAGTTGTCAGTACTTGTTTGCTCCCTGGCACTTCATCAATCTTTGAATGGTTGTACTAGAAATGGAAAATGCAAAGGATTAAGAAGCCCTTACCTGACCCCGCCCCCACCCCCAGCCTTTCCCATCAAAATAGAAACTGAGTTACCTTTCAAAAATATTGTTATGATATTCCATGTGTTTTTAAGTGCTGGTTTTTAAATACTTGATGGAAGTGGAATCCATTACGAAGACTAAGCAATAACAATTTTTGTATTTAAATAATTTCTTTACAGAGGGAGATATGTTTCAAAGTGCTTCACAGGATGTAATCAAAGAAACATTTACACTCATCCGAATGGGATATTTAGTGGTGCCAAACAGCTTATTCAAAAAGGCATTTTTATTAGAAAAGGACTGAGAGGTGGAAAGGCAAAGAGGTCTGCGAAAGAATCTTCAGAGACAATGGCTTAGATGTCTTAAGGCATGACCACCAAGAGTTGAGTAATGGAGTGGGAATGGTGAATAGCTCAGAGTTGGAGGAAATTTGAGTGGTTCTGGGCTGGAGGAGATTACAATGATAGGGATGGCTGAAACCATGAAGAACTGTGAACAGAGATTTTTTCATGTTTGAGGTGTTTTGTGCACTGCTTGAGGCAGTGAGCAAGGGAGTAGAATTTGCTCCTGGTTAGGGTACAGATAACAGAGCTTTGGATGAGCTCAGGTTTTACAGAGTATGGAGGGGTGCGCTGTCAGCCATAAGGGAGCTGGAGCTAACAAAAGCATGAATAAGGATTGTAACAATAAATGGGCTGAGGCAGCTGTGGAGATGTTATTGGAGGTGGAAATAAACAGACAAGGTGATGGTAGGATAGAATATTAGATCAGCATCACATAGGATGTTAATATAGCAAACAATCTGGTTCAGCCTAAGGTGATTGTCAGGGATGGGAATACAATAATTGATGATAAATCACTGCTTGCGGTTGGGACAAAAGACAATAACTTTGGTCTTCTCAATGTTTATTGGAGGAAACTGTAGCTTATCCAGGATTCAATATAAATAGGTTGACTCAGAAAGCAGCTCGCTTGATTCATAAACAAACCACTACCTTTGACATTCACTCATGTCAGTTGGTCACAACAAGGTCATGAATAACTTTTCCAGTTCCTCTGTGAAATAGTGAAACTGACATGGTTGCTGGAAATGTTCATTTTTTTTAGTCTTAAAAGGAGTCAATTTAGAATTAGAATTAGGTTTTGTTGTTATGTGCTCTCAAGTACAAAGATGGAGGAATACAGTGAAAAGTGTACGAAGTCACCATTCCTGGCACCGTCTTAGGTACAAAATCTTAGGTACAAAGGAAAAAAAGAAATAAAGTTAAAAGTTCAACATTACACTCCTTCTTAAGTGCTTAGTCATGCTGACATTGCAATTCCCACAAGGGCTCGATCTCCTCCATGCTGGGCTCTGCCTCTGTTTTCGGCTCCCTTTCCTCACACTGGCTCGATCTCCCCCTCGGTTGACATTGCTGTAGATACTGGGAGACCACAGCCTGCCTGCTTTGCCACTGTCCCAGGCTGCCTGCTCTCACAGGTTTCCTCAGATTAAGGAAAGAGTGATCTTATTGTTTACTAAATAAAGAAACATAACACACTTACAGTTTAGAAATGATGAGTGAGGAAACACATAACAATTGGGAAAAAAAAATAAGGATCAGTCTTTGGCATGTCCATGAGGAGCAGGAAATGGAATGTAGCAGCTGTTAAATTGGGTGACTCTATTACCCCTGACCTTGGCAGTTGAACAGTTTGGAAGCCCTTGGTTCTGCATGTTAGTTGAAGGGGGATTTTCTGTTTACTTTTTTAATGCGAGTTTGTTGTCTTGCGACTTGTTTACAGCAATCAGTCAAAGAGAGAGACAGAAAGACTTTTACTTTGCATGCAAGGATGAGGTGTTTATTAGATGGTCTGCAATTGTGATTTTCACGGAAAACATCAACCTTATACAACTATAACACTGGATTAGCATAAATGAGGCCTGGAGTTGTCTTTTTAAACCCTTCTTTTGTGGATACCTGAAAGGAGAGAAAACCAACAATGTATTTCAACCAGAACTGTTTTATTTTACCACACATCATTTCCATAATCTGCCATATGACTCATGGGAGATAGTTTCTGCTGAGCTGGTAATTGGTCTCCATTATCTGTGTAATGATGTGAGATTACAGTTCAGTTTTTGTATTGCGTCTCTTCTTTTGAAGTTTCTCTGCCGTTGACATGTAATATTCCATGGTCTCTCTCTAGACTAAGTATAATCAATATAGAAATTTTGCAGACATTTTCTGAATGACATACTCATAATTCACATTTCTAGTTTTCTTTGGCACATGTTTCATTTTTCAATATTTTTAACAAAAGGTTACTTAAAAATTTAATAGGTCTGTAGAAATTCGGGGCGATGACCCATTGTCATGATGATTTAGAGTGAAAGAAAGTTGTTTTCCAGTAATTAAATATTCTCAAACATTCATAAGGATACCCAGATTGAAATGAGCAAATCCTAGCTTCTATTGCGTGTTTAACTGTCTCTACTGTGCAAGAACAGGAGCCTCACACCAGCCAATAATTTTGTCTGGTGGTTAAGGCAATAAAATGCCATTTTCCAGAAACTAACACAGTCACTGTGCATCTCAAATAGAAAATGTCCTTGCCAAAAGTTGCTGAGAGACTTGCATATAAATTATGATGAATTACAGTAGTCTTGCCATTACTGCTAAAACTTAACTCAACGAGAAAAACAGAATTGTATAATTACATTACTTTTCTACTATAGAAGGAACAAGCTTTAAAATTACTTCATGCAGTAGATGCCTGTCATGATCATGATTTTAAATAGTGCAATCGATATGATTGCTGAATAATTTTTGACTTCTCTTAAGAGACCTAGTGGTCAAGTCGTGGTGTTTCATAAAATTCTCTAACTATGATTCATAACCATTGATGACTTAATTGAAATTGTGAACTTTCTCATGCATGATCTCTACTTGGACACCTGTGCCAACATCATTCAATTCTGGGCTCATTTTGAATGTAGATTCTACAGTCAAGATGATTTATTCCATTGGGGAACTTGCAGGTGCTGCCCTTATCCTTCCAGATGGAACTTGTCATGGGTTTGGAAGATGCTAAGGATCTTTGGCGGATTTCTGAGTACATCTTGTAGATTGTACACTACTGCAACTGAGGATCTGTGTTGGAATGACTGAATTTTTGTGGATGTGGTGCTAATCAAGTGGACGACTTTGTCCTGGATGGTATCAAATTTCTTGAATGTTGTTGGAGTTGCACTCATCCAAATAAGTGAGGAGTATTCCATCACACTCCCCAAGGCAGGTTTTGGGGAGTAAGGTGTTGAGTTACTTGTTGTAGTATTCCTAGCCTCTGACTTGCTCTTGTAGCCATTGTATTTATACGATGAGTCCAGTGTAGTGGAGTTGATTATTTTCAGATCAGTCATGAACTGGAAAAGACTAGATTGGCTGAATGGCCTAATCTTACTCCTACATCTTATCATCTTTTAATCTTATGGATATCTACTTTTCTGGGATAAGATGTGTTCAGGCGATATTGGGAAGGAGGAAAAAGAAGGTTAGCAATTTTGATTAAGGAACTTATTCAGTGTTTGAAAGACAGAACATCATGGGCAGCACGGTGGCTCACTGGTTAGCACTACTGCCTCACAGCACCAGGGACCCTGGTTTGATCCCACCCTCAGGCAACTGTCCCAGACTTGTTGGGCTGAAGGGCCTGTTTTCACACTCTATGGATTCTGTAAATCTTTGAGGGATCTCAGATAAGATCTATCAGTTGGAATTGAGGAACAATAAAGGAGCTATTCCTCTAATAATGTATTTTACTGGTCGTCAAATAGTGCAGGGATAAAGGCACAAATTTGCAAATAAATCACTGGGAATTGCAAGGGCTATAGAGGAGTTATTATGGAGTTATTATATATTTAACAACCCCAGTATTGAACGGAGAAGAGATTGTGTTAAGGCAGAGAAAAAGAGAAATTTCTGATGTATGTTCAAGCTATTTTTTCCATCAGTGCATTTCCCATCCATTACAAGATATAGTTCCAGAGAATGAAATAGGCTGATTTGCAAAATATCACTAGTGCAGAATGGCCCAGATTTTCAGTCAGCTGTCTGGGGAGGCTGATTCTGAGATTTTTGCGTCCATTCATTTTAGTCTGCTTTTGTTGATACAGATACCATTTGGCTTCAACATGAATGTTTGGCTGAGCTCCAAAAATGGTTAAGCCACTTATATCTCAACAAGCAATATTTATACACCTGCTGAGGGGAGGGACAGTTTTGACTGATTATCTCTACTATCTTATAATAACCTGATGTTTTCTGAATTTTTTTTTACACTGTCTATATTTATTTACATTAGCTAGAGAAGTCTGAAATGCATAAAAGCTTCTGACATTGTTTCTATGGTTGCAGATGAAGCTGTTCTTTCAAAAAATCCTTTCACATGCTCTGCTTCAGGATATGTCAAAGACTTGTCTTATTTGGCAATGTCTGATGAGATACATATATAGTGGATATAGGGAGAATGAGTATGGAAAATAATCAGCACACGTGGAACTGACAAAGGAATATGAAAGGGCACAGAAGGACCACTAGAAATTAAGGGACAGTAGAGGAGATATGGGTGAATAAGGAGGGATGGGAGATGTGACTGAGCAGAGGGGCATGAAGAGCATGGGGACATTGAGGAGTCATGGGGACTACATACAGAGTGTTTGAGGTTTGAGGGGTAATGGTTTGAGGCCCTCCTGTCCATTAGTACAATTAAGCCAATGACCCAGTAAGAGAAACAAGTGTTCCAGCTGGATAGCCACGCCTTCTGCTCGGCTCAGACATGACTGTAGAGGCAGCGGGCCCAAATCCACAGTGGTCCCCTGCCTCCCTTGTATGGAAATATGTTGGGTGGGATACCCCTGAATGGAGTTAAGTTTCCAGAGTCGGACACTAAGCCGGCTCCCAATAAATATCTCATTCACAAAACCTGGCCCAATACATCAGGAATAGTGGTAAGTTCTGGGTTAGTTACGATTTTATGGCAAACTTCCCAAGCATTTAATTTTACATGTCCATCAATCTTTCTCTATCAAGGGCTGTCTCTCTCACCTCACCTCTGGAATTCAGCTCTTTTGTCCATGTTTGAACCAAGGCTGAGTGGCCCTGGCAGAACCCAAACAGGGCATCACTGAGCAGGTTATTGCTGAGCAGGTGCTGCTTGATAGCACAGTTGATACCATCTTCCATCACTTTACTGATGATTGACAGTAGACTGATGGGGTGGTAATTGGCTGGGTTGGATTTGAGTCGAAGAGTCATAGAATAATACAGCATGGAAACAGGCCCTTAGGCCCAAACTGATCCATGCTGACCATGGTGCCCACTCAGCTAGTTCCAACTGCCCACATTTGGCCCATATCCCTCTAAACCCTTCCCATCCATGTACCTATCCAAATGTTTTTTTAAATGTTACGATTTGTTCTGCTTTTTGTACACAAGACATACCTGGGAAATTTTCCACTCTATTAGGCGGATGTCAGTATTGTAACTGTATTGGAAGATCTTGGCTAGGGGAGCGGCATATTCTGGAGCACAAGTCTTGCCAGGATGTTATCAGGGCCCTTAGCCATTGTAGTATCCAGCGTCTCCAATCGTTTCTTGATATCACATGGAAGTAATTGACAACTGGTATCTGTGATGCTGGGGACCACTGAAGGAGGCTAAAATGGATCATCCACTCTGCACTTCAGCCTCATCTTTTGCACTGATGTGCTGGGTCCTTCAATCATTGAGGACGGGGGTATTTGCTGAGGCTTATCTTCCAGTGAATTGTTTAATTGTCCACCGCCATTCACAACTCGATATGGCAGGATAGCAAAGCTTTGATCTGATCCGTTGGTTGGGGGATCGTTTAGCTCTGTCTATGACTTATTGCTTATGCTGTTTGGAATGCAAGTAGTCCTGTTTGGTGGCTTCACCAGGTTGATACCTCATTTTCGAGTATGCTTGGTGCTGCTCCTGGCATACCCTCCTACAATCTCCATTGAACCAGGGTTGATCACCTGGCTTGATAGTAATGGTTGAATGGGGGAATATGCTGGGCCATGAGGTTGCAGGTTGTGCTGGAGTACAATTCTTCTGCTGTTGATGGTCCACAGTGACTCATGGGTGCCAGTACTGAGTTGCTAGATCTGTTCAAAGTCTGTCCCATTTAGCACAGTGGTAGTGCCAAACAACATGATGGAGGTTATTCTCAATGTGAAGGTGGGACTTGATCTCTACAAGGACAGTGTGGTGGCCACTCTTACCAATACTGTCATAGACAGACGCTATGCAGCTAGCAGATTAGTAAGGATGAGGACAAGTATGTTTTTCCCTCTTGTTGGTTCCAGTCTAGCAGCAATGACCTTTAGAACCTGACCAGCTTGATCAGTAATACTGCTGCTGAGCCATTCTTTGTGGTGGACATTGAAATCGCTCACCCAGAAAACATTTTGTGCCCTTGCCACCCTCAGTGCTTCCCACAAATGTTGTTCAAAATGGAGGAGTACTGATTCATCACCTGAGGGAGGACAGTACATGGTAATCACTGGAGATTTCCTTGCCCATGTTTAATCTGAAGCCATGAAACTTCATGGGATCCAGAGTTGATGTTGAGGACTCCCAGAACATCTCCCTCCTGACTGTATACCACTGTGGCACTATCTCTGCTGGGTCTGTCCTATTGGTGGGGCAGGATATAACCAGGGATGATGATAGCAGTGTTTAGGAAATTGTCTGCAAGGTATGATTTCATGAGTATGGCTATATCAGGTTGTTGCTTGATTAGTCTGTGAGTTAGCTCTGATGTTCATAAGGAGGACTTTGTAAGGTCAACAAGGCTGCTTTAGTCTTTGTCTTTTCTGGTGCATAGGTCAGGTGGTCTGTCCGTTTTGATTTCTTTGTTGAGACCTCGTAGTCATTGATACAACTGAATGATTTGCCAGGCTATTTCAGAGGACAGGTTGAGAGTCAACCATGTTTCTGTGAATCTGGAGTTACATGTAGGCCAGACCAGATGAGGCAAGTGTGGGTTTTTCCAACAATCAACAATGGTTTCACGGTCATCGCTAGATTCTTAATTCCAGATGTTTCATTGAATTCAAATTCTACAATCTGCCGTGGTGGGACTCGAACCTGAGTCCCCAGAACATTAGTTAAGTTTCTGGATTAATAGTCTAGCAATAATACCACTAGGCTGTTGCCTCCCCCTGATGCTTAAGGTACCAGAATTAGATAAGCACATGTATCTCAGAGGATTGTGGAAATTATGGAGATGAGTGGGATAGGATGGGGCGAAGCCATAGTGAGTTTTGAAAACTATAATCAGAAATTCAAAACCAAGGGTTTGCTTGATTAGGAACCAGTGTTGGTCCCTGAGTGACTTGATGTAAGTAAGATTTCAAGCAGTCGAGTTTTGTACTACGAGACAACAAGGTGCAGGGCTGGATGAACACAGCAGGCCAAGCAGCATCATAGGAGCAGAGAGGCTGACGTTTCGGGCCTAGACCCTTCATCAGAAAAGCTATTCTCCTATGATGCTGCTTGGCCTGCTGTGTTCATCCAGCCCTGCACCT